ATAATTATTCTGCATAAAATTAATATTTACATGTACTAATCTCTATATTAAATGGATTACTCACTATAAAAGTAGTTATTTATCTCTGATTTCAGTCAAAATTCCTAGATAACTTAATTTTCTCTCTACCCCATATAAGACAAAATCTAGTTCTGAAAAGGCCATGAATTCTGTATTTATCTTTAACGTTAGTATATTGATGTGCATAATTAACCAGTGTTTTTGTTGTCAGGTAATTGTTTACATATAGGAAATTAAAGTTAGAACATTCCACTTGAGAGTATTACTGCTGCCACCATCTGTATTAGAGGGAAAAAATGGTAGGGGTGGCCACAGATTGGGTAAGGGTGGCCATGGCCACCCCTGCAGAACTGGAGAGCTCCTTCAGTGACAGTGCTGCACCCTAAATGCACCAGGGAGCGTTATCACAGATCTTTCCTCCCAGCAGCTGTAACCACTCTCTTCAACCACCGTTTCCAACAAACTTGTTACATTCATGCTGATTTTGCAGTTTCTACCTTAGTGAAGTAAAATGCTTCTGTCATTTTGCACATCAGATTTTTCTCCAGGTGCACAGTATTTATATTGTTAAAACACTTTACAGTACTTTATTTTCTCTTTAACTCTTCATTGTTATACATTTTTCCAAGGTCCACAGTTGTGTGACCATGTTTTCTATCATCTTTTTGCTGCTGTAAACACCAGAATTTCCTCAGTGGGGCAATAAAGGGGTTTTCTATTCTATTCTAAAAACATGTATCCAGTTACAGTTAAGATCCCACCAGTATGTACCCCATCTGTAAGATGAACTGAAGACCTACCAAAACATGACTGACTTATATAGCAACAGGAGCATTAAAGGCAGTGGCGTTTCTAGACCCAAATAATCAGGGGGACCAGACGAGGGCCAGTGTTGTTTTTAAATGGGGTGGGGGGACCAAAAAAAGAATTGTTTGATATGTTCAGTGGGAACCAGAACTGAAAAGACCACCTTTGGCTCTGGACAGTCCAGATATAACAAACACTAGGGTCACCCCAATTCTGGAAGATCTGAGATTCTCCAATACTTAGATGTGAAGGTGACTTTAACCACCAATCTTTTTAACTATGCAAAGGGCAAACAGTCACTTTCAATGCTCAAAAACTTTTATATTTGAGTGTTTTGTGTAGTTAAAACAAGTTTTTGTTACACATCCTTTTTGAACAAAGTTAGATTAAAACATTTATTTGGGATCGTTATAGGCAACTTCCTTATCAGTCGAAATTTAAATAGGCATCTCAGGATTTTTAAGATCAGCTATCCACCATGTACAGTAGGTGCAACCATTAAACGGTGATCCTTATCTCAGTGCAAGTCAATTTAAAACCTTATCATTGAAATAAAACTGTATATTTAATAAAGATACAAACTAATGACAGCTTCTGTGCAAACGAATATAAGAAATGTATTGAGAACTGTAACCGACTTTGTACGCTTCCGCAGTTTTCTATCAAACACTGATTTGGTCGATGCTAAAATTCAACAATCTAGATCTTTGAATGCAGTTTGACTCCATCAACTCAGAAACTAATGGTTTAGAAACAAATTTTATACATCAAGGGGCAATATGAAATCAAAAAGACTGAAACAAGGAAACCTCTAAATATATGCAATGTAGCATTTCTCAAGGGTCAGGATAAAAAAATATATATATTAAAAAAGGCAGGGAAGTAGCCTTTTAGGACTAGAGCTAGCCACTCCAGGTTTTGCTCTTTTTTTTTTTCTTTACAGTCTAATGACTACACTTTAACTAGAATCTGATTAAGTGTTTGGAATTGTGGGATGGGTCTGGGGAAAAAAAACCTTATAGCAGAAGTTGCTATACAAGTCTTGATTTGAGTTTAATAGAAATGCACAATAATGTAAGTTTGCATCTAAAATAAAATCGTAATTGTAGTTAAATGTTTGTGAACGTTATAGTGAAGTAACAATTCACGCATAACACTAATATTACAGATTTAACCAGGTTACCTTTTTAGACGACATTCAAATACTTTGATCCATGAGAAGTGAAGAGTCTGGTTTTATCTAGAAACTCTAGCAAAACTATTTAACAAACTCAATGGAAGGATTAAAGTTTATTTGATAGTATGTAGGGAAAAAACAAATACTCAAAATTTATTTACCAAGATCGGTTCCAGTTTTTCTATTTTATTATGAGAAATGCAAGAAGTAAATCAAAGCTCTCACTTTATTCTAATACATTTCAATAAGTCTCCAGGGTCCATGTACATGCTGGCTATTTGATTTCAGTTTTGTAATGAGAAATCCAAAATCAGAACAAACCGTTTCCTTAGTTTCAAATAAAAATGTTTCTGAAAAAGCCAGTTTTTTGCTTTTCCCAACCCCAAATTGGGGAAACATAATTCAACCAAAACGAAAATAAAAAAAATCTAGACATCCTTTCCCGATTCCCTCCCTCCCTCATCAATCATGTGTGCCTCCACACCAATGTAGGTGTGGTACAATATAAAACATATTCACACAATCGCATCACTGACATTTCCAATAAACCTCCTTCATAGTTATTTCTTCAAAAGGCATACATGATGGCATCTCCCAGCTAACTCGTGAACAGTATCGGTCTGGGCCAAGAGGTAAAGCATGAGCTTCAAGGCAGTCCATCAGATCTTTATAGCTCTTTACTTCAATAAATTGTATTGGTGTACCGACAATTAAATTGGCAAACTGGCAATAATAACTATAAGTACAATAGTTCTGACAAAAATGAATGGTACATAGTGTCCCTGTGCCGTTGCTACGACTGGGTCAGTACCAAAACAGAAGACTGAGGGCAAGGGACGGAAAGCTGAATCATGAGGGGGTAAAAAAAAAAAAAAAAAGATTTAATTTAGGAATTATAAAACAGCTTGTTAAATAGCTTGTTTTTTTGTTTTGTTTTTTCCTATCATTTTATGTGGAAATCAGACAATGGTTCATTCACCGATCCTGGATTTCTCATTACAAAACCAAATCAGAATGCCCTCCAGTCTGAATCCCGTTTCAACCAACTTTTCCAGTCGCAGAGTTTCAACCAACTCCTGCGGCAGTGGGCTGCAAAGGCACCTAAAAATCAGAGAACAAAGGGAAGAAAAAAAATTAGATCTATAGACACACACACACACACATCTCATTTGCAAAGTTTGTTTTATAAATCAACATTATTCAAATAGTTTATTTAGCCAACACTAATCTAGGATGAAAAGTTTTTCATTTAGGTAAGACTTTAGAATTTCAGTGCTCCAAATAAATCCGTGTATGGCTGTGCAATATGCTGCAAATAGACCATTTTAATACCAGTGTGTATACTACAAAACAAAATGACTAGGGTACAGTTTTTGACTAATATGTTCCATGGATGCTTGCATAAAAAAAATAAAACTTCCCAAAAAATGCTAAAGAGCAGAGTGTAGGAAGCAGATAAAAACAAAATTAAGAATGTGTCACAACGATAACACCAGTGCTGAAGTTTCTAATACTAAGACAAAAGTCTAGATCTAAAAATGAAATGACAGCAAATGCTAAAGCCACAAGCAAAAAGAGCCTGAAACGAGGAAACTAACAAAAACATCCACAGCTAAAACCCTGCAAATATTGGATGAATCTTCTCTCCAAAATACCCTGATGAAATGGCTAAATATCTTCATTCAGTTCTGCAGATGCTTGCCAACAAGCCATTTATCTTTTTCAGGTGTGTTGGAGAACAACCTCAAAAATGCAGGATTCCAGTTCTCCTGGACCTATCAGAGTGCAGTTATTCAGAGTCAACTTACTCGGCTCTCTGAAATGTAGGACTTTTAACTTGAGTCAGCCCAGAAATAAAGGCGAACACGAGAACAAGAAGCAGAAAATACCATCCATCATGGCAATGGAGAGATATAAGCCCAAAGTGTGCTTTTCTTGCACATGCAGTTAAGTTTAAGTTGCTTTGTCAACATTAATTTAACATTGAGGGGAAAAAATATGCGTGTTTGTGCATAGAATGAGTCTAGGTGTAACCCAGGAGTGCATGAAGGATGAAGCAGTAAATCTAGATCCATTACAAAAAAAGTTAAAACATGTAAGGGCCAGCTATTAGCCAGTATGTGCCAATTATATAGCAAAAAGACTTAAATACCTGTTAAATAAAAAAAACATAAAAAGCATACAAAAATAAAACATCCTTTGTTTAGTGAAGGAGCAGTTAATGTAGTTGACATTTACCCTTCAGATTATACTTGGAAACTCAAAAATATTTTTCCTGATGCTCAAAAATCAAAGAATATGTATTAAGATGGATCTACTCACAATGAACATTATGAGCATTTTTCTCTAACATCTACAAGCTCCTTCAACAAAGGACACCATTTCTGAGGCTTTTTTGTCTGGTCTTGACTCAGATGTGCAGACTTTGGGTAGCTTTAAAAAAGCTGCTACCCACATGAGTAACTTGCACGATTATTTCATCTCGAGTTAACGGCCATTTGTTAACCTCAAACTTAATTACTTATCTTATTGCGAAGTCTGACTCCCAGTTTATGAAACAGGGCTGAACTTTGCTATGCTTTCCATATGATTTACCAACCAAACCAAAAGGTAAGCTACACTGAACCAAGCTTTAGAAATGGGTAACATACTGTTTTTGCTCCTACATATTTCACATTTGCACAGATTTACCGACATTTTGAGAAAGAAAGCCATTTATTTCAGGAAATATACTAGAGATACACCCTTGTTGAGAAAAAATAAAATTGGTTATGCCACCCACATGCACCATGTATAAACATTCTACATTAGAATTAATTGGGTCCAAGTGTACATATTTCAAGCTGAAGCTACATAAGGCGCTGGACGTACCTGGGCCAATAAAGATGCCCTGGTAATTCAGACCAACAACTGGGTGTTACTCAAGTACATTTCATCGGCCGTTTCCTGGGCGGTTATCCTGCAATAAAGAAAAAAACAATTAACCTTCGTGTCCTTTTCCTAACTATGTATATATATAAAAATTAAACGATATTGAAAGTTATAATATTGTCCTTAATCCAGCTTCAAGCTTCCTCATGTTGATGCTTTTCCAGTTTGGCTGTTGGGTTGATGGCGTTTTTCCATAGATCTCCAGTTTTGAATGGGCATGCTTGAGGAATTTTGGTTACAGAAAATAATTTATGCCTCCTTGGTTTTTTTTTTTTAAACCAAGATTACTTTTACTAGATGTCACTTGTGTGGAAATATATTACCAATTGTTTGAAATTTCACAACTTGTTGGGCATAAAAGTTTCAAAAGTTCAAATTGTCAAAATCTTGTTGGTCAAAGGAAAGTAATCTTCATGGGTGTTGCTCTTAAAAGATGTGTCTGCTATAATACAATGGCTTATTTCAGTCGACTTCCTCATTGCATTGTCCCCTGATGCAAAAAGTTGTCTGGGCTGAAGATTGTGTAATGCAGGACAATGAGAAACTTATTTACAGGTGAGAAAAAGAGGTTTGCTTTGCTTACCAGCTGATGACTATGTCGAGTTGTGTTTGCTTGTTGTCTTTGGTTTTGTCGTTGCATGCCATCATTTGGCTCTATGGTGATGCATCCATTTCCAAAGGGAACTACATTGGAACATTTTGACAGTAACATTTTCCCCACTTCATTTTCCAACAGTAGTGTCCAGTTGGAAGCACATTTGTTTAAAAATATTTCTTTCCACTCCATCACATAGCACGGACAGACTCACCTATGCATTACAGAGCTTTGCAAAGGAGATGGTGGTGTTGATTTTGTTTCCACATTCATGTCAGAAATCTTGAGGTGAAAAATTGATGAGCAGATTTCTTTACAACTAAGATCTTTATTAGCGTATGAAAGCCATTTTTATAGGGCATTGCAGATTCCAATCACACTTAACTGACAAAAAAAAACACACTATACTGTGACATAGGGAAAGAAACACTATGTATAAAAATTGAAAAATAAAAATACACATACTGGGAAAGTAAAAGTACAAAGCTAAACTTCCTAAGTCACAGATTAGACACATTTTGTCTGTTTGAATAAATCAGATTTCCTCCAAAACATGTATGAAGATCGAAATTTGCATTAATATGACTTCCAAGTCCATTTAGTATCTGCTGCGAGCCATTCCTCTATCAGGTCGACCGGCGCCACGGCCGCCACGAGGCCCTCCACGACTTGAGCCATACGAGTCACGAGGAGGGTAACCTCTATCGCCAGGCGGGGCTGGGCCCCTTTCCTGTCTACCCATTCTCTCTCCGCGGCTGGGAGGATAGGGATCACTCCGACTGCTGGGGTAACTGTCACGACTTCCATAGCCATCCCTGGAGCTGCTGCCATAGTCATCGTAACGACTGCTTCCACCGCTTCCACCATAGGATGGTGGGGGGCCCCGTGAAGGTGGGGCACTGCGAGAGTTACCTGCAGGGTCAATGGTTCAGGTAATGTTTCAGGCAAGGTTCAACTGCAACAAATTACTTGCACTTTTAAGTGCTCACTTTCTGCCAATAGAACTTATCCTGTGACAAATTTCATTGTTAGTTTTTATTCTTCATCAGATTACGATTCTAAAATGAATGTAGATATTTTAGGTGATGAGCAGTTGAAGTTGATAAACTACTAACATCCATCCACTACATTGATTAAGTAGGTAGTGTCAGTCCTTTCTGCATGCCATTTACTCAGGTAGCCATTTTTTTCCCCTTTTCAGAGTTCCAGGTGGAGAAAAGGACGAGGTTTTCTGCCTTGTCTTGGTGGTTTTTGATTTTGATGATGACTCCTTGAGGGAGTGCTTTGCTAGGAAACATTAAACGAGCATTTCCAAGGATTTTGAGGGATCCTTTTCGTTGAATACTCAGACTAATCAACTAGTGCCTCTTTCTGAAATTGCCACAAACTTCTTGATAGTTATGGCAGTAGGACTGTTTACTCAGCTTTTAAGTTTGTTTTTTTCTTTTAGGCTTAGATGCCAATGGTCTGAACGAAATACACATGTGCCAGTTGGAGATTTGTTCAGGGGTGAAAACTCTTCTCTTGGAATGTAGTGAACCTTGGCTCTCTGTTGCAGCCTGCGCCATGAATTATTTTTGCAGCTTTTCCCTGTGTGATTGTAATTCGTTATGCTCATGGAGCTGTATCTTACCATAACCATCATAGGAATCGCGATAGGAGCCACCACTGGGACGGTCGATATAACCCCTCGATTCTCGACCACCTCCATAACCATCTCGGTCACTAAAATAAAGCGTTGATGTTAAATGAGCAAGAATTTTTTTTACCCCCCTTTACAACTTCTGTATCAAAACATACCTGTATCCTCTTGACATTGAGCCATAATCATCTCTGGAGCCAGAACTGGAATACTCTCTGTACGAGTAATCTCTGGGGGGAGGGCCATAGTCCCGGTCCCTTGAACTGTAATCCCGGCTAGAGTACCTAAAAACAATCAAAGACGGATGCAAAAACTACATGATTTAAAAACGCTATTTAAACCTAGCCATTGAGGGTTACAACAAGGAATATTACTAAACCTTATCAATTAAGCTTTACTACATTGCCAGAACAAAAAATAAAGGGAACACTCAATATATTCTAGATTTGAATGAATCGCTCATATATTCTCATTGAATACTTTCTACAGAACAAAGTTGAATGTGCTGACAACAAAAATCCCAAAACAAACCTCAATGGAAATCAAAATTATTAACGACTCCTGGATTAGGAGTCACACAGATAATTAAAGAGGATCCAACTTTGATGTAATGTCTTTCAAACAGGTCAAAATGAGGCCCAGTATTGATTATGACCTCCCTACAACGCCTGGGCATGCTCCAGATAACGTGGTGGGTGGTCTCATGGGGGATCTCCTCCCAGACTGAACTCCTGGACAGTATATGGTGTAACGTAATGTTTGAGGATGGAACGTGATACAACGCCCCAGATGTGTTCAATCGTATTCATGTGTTTGAGTGGGTGTTGTTCATGTGTTGCAGGACCTGCAGGCCACATGAGATCTAGCATTGTCCTGCATTAGTAGGAAACCAGGGCCAACCGGCAGCAGGTTGCTCAGGCTCCAGATTGTGCTCCTGGAGGTCATATTGCAGGACCATGGCAGTGCTCCTCGTTTTCCTCCTTTCACAAAGATGGAGGTAGTAGCCCTTCTGCTGGGTTGTTGCCCTCCTCAACACCTTCTGGTGTACTGGCCAGTCTCCTGGCAGTGCTTCCAGCCTCTACACAGTATACTGCCAGACACAGCAAGTCTTCATGCCACAGCTCACATTGATGTGCCATCCTGGATGAGCTACTTTACCTGAGCCCCTTGTGTCTGTTGTAGAGTCAATCTCATGCTACCATGAGTGAAAGCACCACCAGCATTGCTATTGGCAATCAGTGTTGCTTCCCCAGTGGACAGTTTTATTTCACAGAACTTTGATTTAATTACAATGAACTCGGGTTTCAATATTTCCTACCCGTCTTTGGGGTTGTAATGGTCATCTCTTGGTGATGGATAATCATCCCTCCTGGACATCATTGAATCTCTGCGAGGTGGAGGGCCATAGGGATCCCTGTCTCTGGACATAGGAGCTGAAATGACAAATATTGATATTATAGATAAGCTAATAAACCCCTTAAGATTCCAAGAAAGACCATTTTGAATACTCACGCCTGCTCATGGGACCAGACGGGGCAGACCTCTTGGGTGGTGGACCTCCGTTTCGAATGGCAGGACCTCTTTTCATTGGCGGACCTCTGGATGACATCCGACTATAGTAGCCATCTCCATCTTCTGAATCATAGTAGTCTTTAAAGATATAAAAAAAAAAAATCTTCATTAACCTTCAGTTTCAATCAAGGTCTTTTTCCTTGAAAGCTTTACTATTAAATTAAGGCCTTAATTGACTCTAAAATGTATTAAATATGTTTATAGTGGCATTTATAATTATTTAATAAAAATGTTTATAAAAACAATTTCGTTAGATATATTATATCGCGATTCATTTGCGTGGAACTGATCATAAAGCCGTATGTTCGGAAAGAAAGCTGGAGGCGGAGAAAAAGGTAGAGAATATATATACACGTATATGCATGTGTGTGTGTGTGTGTGTGTTTACATACATACAGGAGTCATGGAACTGTGCTTAAAGCTCCTTCATATTTCATGTACAATAATAACTTGTGTACATGGTTCTTGTTGATAGCATTAAAATCATTTCTAATAGCATTAAATTAGAGTCACTCATTCCTGTCTGAACCCTGTGAACGCTTAATTTAATATGGCATATTAAAAAAAATCCCACCATCATCCAGCATATGTTCAGTTTAGGCCCAAATATATATTTTTTTGTTGTAGATTTTTGTAACTGGGATAACTAGGAGAATTCAAAACTGCTACTACTCCCAAACTCAGCATCTCTTCATCCATTCCTGCAATAAGAAGTTTATTTTGAATGGATTTGATTAAACTTTTAGTCCCTCAGTATAAAATAATATTTTGATGGAGATGAGAAATGTGCTTCCTGGTTGGTGAATAACCAATAGTTTGCATCCAATCATTTAAATAAACGGTGTTAGTTTTTTTGGAATATATAAGAAGTATGCTATAATTTCTAGTTACCGTTCTGTTGCTACTATATTTTAATTTGACGAACCGGAATTTCTCGATGTTCTTTTTCCTATTTGGTGCGATTGCAATTGCGGATCTTAACCTGGCCAGAGCGGAGCAAAAAAATAGCCCGGCTCCGTATTTTGTCGGTGACGGACGGAGACGCGCGGAGGAGTAGCGGTGGATGTGGAACAGCTCTCATTGATTTACATGAAAAAAAAAGTGCTCCGCACGACGTACGTCAGCGGGGTGGAGCGCTGACAGAGTATGTGGAGCCTGGGGGTTAGGATCCTTGTTCTGGTTTTATTTGGGATCATCTTATTTTTTCTCTTGTTTTCAACAAAAACACTGCTACTCAGAGCAAATCATTCTGTGCCATCTTACCTCTAGATGGGGGACCCCTCATGCCTCCTCTTGATCCTCGGGGACCTCTTGGAGGACCCCGGCTTCGAGAATGCATGGATGGAGGCCCTCGTCTCCCTGAGCTCTCAAACTGAGGCTTTGTTGCTTGCTCCACTTTAATAGGTTTGCCATCCAATGACTGAATAAAAAAAGAAAATTATTTAAAACCACACCTTTAAAATGTAATAAAATCTTCAAGAGGAGAAAAACAAACCTTTCCATTCATCTCACGAGCAGCATCCTTTGCATCGGCTGGATTTTCAAAGGTCACAAATGCAAATCCTCTCGATTTGTTTGTCTCACGGTCCTTCATTAGAAGAACTGAAATATGGAAACAAAATGTTAGACCAGAATTGGAAATGTTTGGGTTTTTTTTTTTTTATTAAAGACAATTTTAATGTAAAACAAGTGTGAAAGACCAAAAAAATTAGAAAAGCATTTGACCCTGCAACCATTTGTGTATAATTGTTGCAGCAAGGATTTATTAAAATAAAAAATAAATAAAAAAAACCTTGTTTTGGTTGGTTTAGTATGAGGTGGTCTTTTTTTATTCTTTCAATTTCCAAATAGCTGGTTTATATTTTAAAGTATCATTTAAAATAAAAACATACGTTTAAAAAAAAAAAAATCTTGAAAATATATCTGGCAGATGCAGCGCCAAAGCCCCTCACTAAATATCAAAATAAAAGGTAACTTAATTTGAAAAAAATAAAATAAAAATTGTGATCTTTTGTCTGGATAAATGCGCCATTGTCAATTTTAACATCAAAATATCATGAAAATCATCACCATTAATCTGAAGAGTTTTGCCTTCAACATTGCAAAAATGTTTTGCAATTACATTAATCAAATGTCTGAGTTTGGGGGGGGATGAGGAAATTTAATGATTCGCTTTTAACCAATATAAAATGGGGCATAAAAGGGGATTTCAGTCTTTAAAATAGAATATGTACTAAAACGTTAACCTTTCAAGGTTCTGAAAAAAACATTTATACACGTGGCTTTTCAAAAAAATAAAAATATAAAAACATTCCCCTTGAAAGAGAAAATGAAACTCGTTGAGTTTTAATACAGGAAAATACCTCAACCAAAGGGTAAGATGCGACTAATAATGGAACACTATAAACATAACAGCGCGGTTAATTACATTTTGATCATAATTACAGCAACCTAAAAGCACCAGGGTGTTAAAATAGAATGATCCACGTGGAGAGCTCAGTCCCACCTTCGACAATCCTCCCATATTTGCTGAAGTACTGCTCCAAGGCCTTCTCGGTGGTCTCCGTGTTCAGTCCACCGATAAACAGCTTCCCGGGTCGGTCAGCTTCCGCCATTCTGCAAAACAATGAAAACACCACCACAAGCGTTTAACACACGGGAAATTCGTTTTTATTCCCATTCCCAGTTAGCATAAAGGTTCCTTTCAATAACGGATTAATAATATGGCGAATACCTTTTTGCTGGTTTCGAGCAGTTGAACGCGCAAAATGGCGATAAACGCGCCACCGATATCGGCGAGACACGACCGGCCGGAAAAATGGCAGTGTTTCGATTTGAAGGTATAAAATGGGCAGCTTACAACGCGTTTAAAACGACACGGTGTTAGTCTCTTACAAGCATGCAGCCTAACAACGTACTACAACACGAAACTGCAGAATATATCCGGCGTTGAAAGGTTACAATAATGGTGAACAACGGTTGCTCTTCTTCTTCGACTCACGTTCTTCCGGTTGAAATACAAGTTCCTGCCCCCTAGCGGTGCTCCACAGTAATGCATTCCTCACCACTGATCTTTGTGTCAAGTGATTTACAATTACATTGATTTAATTCATAGATTGTGTTATCCTTTAGCAAAATATTGCTGTTTATTTCTCTTATTTCTCTAACAATATTTAAATTTTATTTATTTGTGTTAAAGCTATGTGTATGCACCTTGAAGCTCTATCTCTCCGGTTATTTTTCCTGAAAAGAGATCACTTGGGAAAAACTCTTTAAATAAAACTTCGTAACTTATATGTATTAAGTAACCAGGAGACATGACAACAGATTCTAATATAAATTGTAATCTTACTCAGATCAGAGAAATTCCTTAGAGTTTACATGAGTTGCATTATCATCATATCATTACATCATACATGCTATCAGATCAGTAGGCCTCTATGGCTTGTGCCTTATCAAAATATTACACTCCGTCCTTAGTTGAAGGACACCACTCTTGCTCCATTTCCAAATATTTTGCCACGTACAGATTTAAGATTATAACTGTATATCCTGACAGAGGAACTGTCTTAATTAGATAAAATATTGTGGGAAGCATCAGTTTTGACACGCAACAGGCAGCTAACATTAAGGTGTAACACATCATTAATGATAATTATACTAACAGTTCCCCCTGAAAAGGTGACCTTTAAAAATGTCACTTTAAACAACCACATTAATGTCTGCTCATTAACAGGATATTAATCATAGAAGAAACTTTAAGCGCTGTTTCTTTCATCATAGAATCATGGAATAAACAATCAACAGTCCCCCTGATGATGTAGCATTAATCAAAATTCAATCAAAAGTAATCACAATCAAAACTTCACAGGCCAAATGTTATCACTCAAGACACCTTTTTCAGCATTTAACTGCAATTTGGGTTTCATCCAATGAAAGGAAGGCTGTGTTAGTTTCCTATAAACACACTACTTTAATTTACCTTAGATTAGGTAACCTAACCCTGTAACTCTAATAAGGTCAAATTCATCTCTCACTCCCACCTGGGGGCCTCCTACAGTAAGTGTGACCGCTCAGCATGGATAAATCATCCATCCAAATTTACCAATCATTCAGTCACAGTAGAGGACGTCCCATTTTGAATCTGACCATTATCACATTACCAACTAATTAAAGAACCTTTAAGCCAATCAGGTTCTGAATCGTTCTATGCCACAACAAAAGTGGCATAAAACCTGATCATGGTGGGTCTGGAGCAAAATGTCTCCATGCTTTTCATTTTTTTGTTTGTTTGTTTTTTAATAGAATCATGATTTTACAATCCGATTAAATTTGAGCACTAATCTTGGCAAAGTAGCTCAGGCTGTCAGAATGAATTGATAACCTATGTAAACACCAACTTTGAGCTTGATTTGATCTGAACTTTGACTGGCCATTCAGACAGAATAGAATAGAATAGAATCATTCCTTTTCCTACAGTTGGGGAAATTAGCAGCAAAGTTGGAAATGTAAGCACACAAAAAACATTAAAATAGAATATTGCAAGAATAAGGTCAAATAGAAAAGGTATTAAAATACCACACCATTAAGAATAACCAGCAATTATAGACTTACACTTATGAAGATTAGCATCCAGCATTATAATGCTACCACCACCAGTTTTGCTGAAGGGGCAAACATGTTCAAGGTGTTTTTAGTGTCATACCAGGTTTTTGCAGGTTTTGTCTCTTTTACCAGAAAAAACATTTTTAACATGTTTTTGTTCCTCTCTACATTTATTCTGATCACTTAAAATAGATTTTTTTTTACATTTTCTTTTCTTTTTCTAAATCCCTTTCTTCCTACAATTCTCAATAGAGGTTGAGGTCTGTTTTGTGCACTGCAAATGTTTTTTGTTTTTGCTTTTGTCAACAGATATTCCTGTCAGAGATGTGAATCTCTGCAGCCCAACCAAATTTACAGCAGAGCTCTTTGATGCATATGAACACAATACATTTTCCCTAGACTTAAAGTTTTGTCATACATTTGGCTTGAAAAAATGGTGTCTTTAGTTCTTGTCTTGGCACTTGAATGCCTCTAATGTCTAAATATCAACTAAGGGTTTTGATAGGTTGTTTTGAGTTCCTTTTTTTCTTTCCCATCCATGTTTTTAAGTTTGTTTTAAAGATTTTCACAAGAACTACTTAATTATTCATTGTTGTCTGGATGAACTATAATTCAAGAATTAGGCTATACTGTATGCTGACTCAGAAACAAAGATTACTTTTTGTAGTTTGTCAAACTAATTATTTTAGGTGTCACTAAGATGATATTAACATTGTGGTATCAGGGTACAACCAGAGCGAAGAGAAAACCACATGTTCCAAATTCAGCAAAATAGTTCCATCTCTTACTTTCAGGCTGCTAATGACAATTAAAGCACTTAAACCACCTAAATTGTGGATTTTATTCAAATGCATACAATATGTTATAAATACTTTGTCCAATCAAAAAGTGAAAACCTTTAGGTGGTTCTCAGAACCTGCCTCAGGAAATTCATTCTGGCTCAGCCTGACCCGAAAGTAATAGAGACAAAAGGTAGTTACCACCTGTATAGGTCAATGCACTCCTTTTGTTGTCATTTTTGTGACAGTCTCTCTCAGCAGTTTCTGTCTCATTCTCTCCTTAGTTTTGGTAAAAACACAAATTTTATTATCTTTTAGAATAAGTAGCTGGCTGTGCGTTGCTGCCAAGGAGCTGTTGGACAACAGGAAGTAAAGTGAGAGACACCCACTCTATTAGAAAGACTGCAAATAGCATCAAATATATGTTCAGTTTTTGAAATGAATCCATCTTGCCACCAGTTATGGAGGCAAACTGGATATACAGTAAGATCCTTTTAATTATTTTAGATGATCTACAATCTGTGGTGTTAATTTAAAGATAGAAATAAGAACATGTCAAGAAAACGCCACCAGGTAATTTAAATAATGCTATGACAGCATTTCTGTTTTCTTTTTCCCGTTATGACAGTTGGTAAGGACTATCTATTTATTTGGCAGAAAAGACTTAAACAGTTCTTAATACTATACGATATATTTTTTAAATGATGTCTGATATTGATGTCGAATCTATAAAATTGCCAAAGCTATAAAAAATGACGAGGACTTTGAGTTGGATGACTTTTATATCCTGTGGGACTTCCAGATACAGATGGACTGAATGGTAATGGGAAATTAAATTGGACATTGGTGTGGTGGACAAAAAGCTGAGGAAATATTGTGATTGACATAGCAATACCAAGTTACTGTAACATCAGGAACACAACATGAAAAACGATAGGGGCTCAGAGAAGAGCTGGAGGAAAACTGGAAGGTCAAGGCATCAGTGGTACCCGTGGTCATTGGGGCCCTCGAGGCAGCGACCCCCAAACTGGAGGAGTGGTTACAGCAGATCCCTGGAAATACATCAGACATCTCGGTCCAGAAAGTTTTAGGAACAGCAAAATGTGCTGAACCCTCAAGCTCCCCATAGTATAGACCTGAGCTTGCAGGAAAAAGTGGAGGAAGCCCACACACGATGGGTGAGGAAGAGTTCATATACACACATACACATGGTTGTTAGATGATCTAAATGAAAATAAATGTATCTCATTACCACAGAACGGTAGTAACTAGTTATATATAGTTAGTTACATTTACTTGTGTTAAAATATATACTTTTAGGAGCAGATTTACTGCACCATACTTTTTACTTTTAGGTAAGTAGTGTCTTTACAAAATACTGCTTATCTTACTCGAGTAAAATGTTAATGTTTGTGTTAAAATTAGTATTTCTTTTTTTTTTATTTAATATAAGATTACTTTATATCTAATGAGCCTATCTCGACATTTGGAGATGAAGCTCATCTGCAGTAAAGAGTAAATATTGTTACTGAAGGTGATGATGGGTTGACCATTTAGACAAATTGTAAAACATTTAACACATGCCACGCTAAGTTATGCCCTCTCCATACTTCTGCAACAAGAAAAACGAAACATTCCGGTTTTTCTAGTCGTCATCATTTGCATGTTCATGATCAGTACATTTCTCATTTTAATTCTTGTTTTCACTTTTTCCTGCACTTTTCAGATCCATTTCTTTAACACTAATGTCAAGTATTGCATTTTATATTTTTATTCATCTAGAGAGCACGTAGGCCTATGTTAAAGGAAAACAAGGGTGCTGATAGTAGCTAATAAGCAACGTAAAGTTCCACGGTGTCAAAATACTTGACCTGTCAAAATAAATCATATGTAAAATATACCTTTATACTTGTAGCATAATATACATTTAAAATAATTGAGTTATGTATATTTGTTAATTATCGTCATAGAAATGGCTTGATTCGTAGTTTTAGTGGAGCTGAAAACAAACAAATCTAGTATTTAGAACAGACAAATTCTTGCTTACCTTTATTTTGAAGGGAAAACCCCATGACATCCGCATAGCTTGACAGAGGGGGACGTTGTCAGACTGGATCGGTCTCTCCATCCCGAACAAGAGAGAGGCAGCTTTTAGTTAACTCTATATACCTGGCGAACAGTAGGCCCTTTTAAACGAGGACATACACTACTTTTTAAATTACAGGACATAGCAGTGCTGGGGAGCTGAACCGGCCTTAACATGAAGACGCGACAGCTAGTTGGATTGGTCTATTTGCTAGCTGTATATTCCAGTTCATGCTTGGCGTTTTATCTTCCGGGTTTAGCTCCAGTGAGTTTTTGTCCAAAAGACGAAAACAATCTCAAAGATTGCCAGGTATGGGGATTTTCAAACTGGGGTATCAATTCTTTTTGAAATCACGTTTTATTTAATCTATTGATGTTCTGCATGAATGTTTTTGGGACGTTTTAATTTAGCTGGCAGTAATAGCAGTAGCTAGCCACTTGTCCTCTAGGCCCCGGCTAATTGCTGGAGCAGAATATTATCACATCATGATGTGTCGTCACTTTGTGCTTTCCTCCTTCACCATTGCAAGTAAATTATA